GGGGAGGAGCCCGCCCGCGGGCGAAAGGCTGGAGGAGCCCTGTGTGCCCCAGGACCTGAATAAATCTTGCCTACCTGGGTTCTGCTGGGTGTCCTTCTGTCTGTTATCTTCATCCCCAAGGGCACGACGCCATCAGGCTAGGTGAGGGGACTGCGGCCAGGGGCGCTCAGATGGACACTCCCCAGCAGGGGTGCCCCAGACTGCCCATTGCCAGTCTGACCGGAGAGCCGTCCCTCCGCCCATTTCTCCAGTTCAGTGGGCCCCTCCTAGGTCCTGCTTCCTCCACCACCTGTTACCAAACCCCTGCGTGGGGCCGACACTGTCCCCAGTGCTGTGGCTAGTAGAGCAAGTAAGTATGAAGCCCTTAGGGGTATTTGGCTCGGTGCCCCGATGCAAGGTGGGTATGATCAGCCCCGTCTTGCAAAGGTAGAAATCAGGGATCAGAGAGGGCAGTGGTTTGCCCAAGGTCACATAGCTAGTGTTTGGCAGAGGTTGGATTCAAACCCAGGGCCATCTAGCTTTTTCTTCTCATTCTGTCTCTGGAGCCTCTCTTCAGTTTCTGTAGTTTTCTTGGTTCTTCCTGATTCTCTTTGCCAAACCTCCAGTGCCCTTCACCTGGAAACACAGCGCCCAGTCCCCTCCCGTAGGCGAGTTCTGCTCTGGTCCAGACCCACTTCCCCTGGCCATTCCCTGGCCCAAAGGCCTTGCGTTATCCCTTCCACCTGGCCTTGCACTGCCTCAGCCATTCAGGAGGGACCCCCCAGACACAGGAGCCACTCAGCCCCCAGCAGCGCCGCCTGGCCTGTGGTCCTCTCCCTCCCTCTGGCCACAGACAGCAGGGCCAAGTCTGTGACTGTGGAAACCCACTAATTAGCCCATAAATCAGCCGCCTGGTTTCAGAGCCCCTCTCCTTCCTCCCTCCCTCCCCACACGCCAATACCGTTTATTGGCTTCTGGGCTGAGGCCTGAGACCCCGCAGCCTCCCCGTCTCCACAGCATTTCTCTCTGCTGTGGAGGCACCAAGAAAGGCCCCTCCTGACAAGAGGAGTTGCCAAGTCCTTGTCCTTCAGTACCTGTCACCCGCTATAGCCCCGGTGGTCAGAGTGGCCACCAGAGCCGAGACCCATCTGGGGGATCAAGAGCTTCAAGGGCAAGCGCCAGCCTGGGCCAGAACCTTCGCTGCCCAGCACCTGGCCTGGTGCCCTTTCTCCCCTGCCTCTGCCCAGGTTGCCACGGCACAGTCGGGCCACGACGGTGGAGTTTCCTGGAGCAAGGGCATGTGATGCTGTCTCCTCCACAGCACCTCGGTGGCCACTGCTCATGCCTCCCTGGGCCTCACCCCATCTCTGGGATGGACTCTCCATTTTTTGGAAAGAAAACTGGGGCCCAGGGACATGAGGAGACTTGACCAGGGTCAAGTACAAGCTAGCAGCAGAGCTGGGATCCCAAACAGTCCCGGGGCGAGTGTAGGGCGGCCCAGGCAGCAGCGGGAAAATACCTAAGGGTGTCTGAGTTCCCTGCACGGTGAACATGAGTGCTCACAAAGCCATGCAGAAGTGGGGGACAAAGTCTCCCGGGGGTGGTTTAGGCTGTGGTCAGTTGTGCCACCCAGCTGGACTCCTGTTCCTCCGTGTCACCTCTGTGGGCCTGGACAGTGACCTGGACTCAACAGCAACAGGAGGAGACGCCATCACCCATGCAGGACACGATAGAGCAGTTTGAACCTGCCCGGAACGGCAGGCACAGGGGACAGAGTCGGCTAGTGGAACCCTCCACAGTGGCCTGGGTATCTGAGACTCTGCTCAGCGGTGGGAGGGGTGGTCATAGCAGCCCAGGTCCCTAGTTGGAGCTCTGAGGCTTGCTCGGTCCATTAGCATCAGATAAAGAGGCCTCCACCCATAGAGGATGGGACAGCCTGGCACGCAACGGGCACACAATAGATACTTGATGTGGGGACAGTGGTGCTAGGGAGGAAAGACAGGATCCGTCCCCTCCTCCTTTCATCTTTGAAACCTTTTTTTGGGAGAGGTTTTTGCTATAGGCCACGTGTGCTCACCAGACAGACAGAGAGAGACAGAGAGACAGAAAGCGAGAAATCACCCCCCAGGGGGGATGGCAATGCCGCAATCCCTTCTCCTCCATTCTCCTCTCGGGATCTTGGGCACGCATGCACACGTGCCCGTCATGATTTTAAGCTGCTGGGTCCGGGACCTGAACTGCTGTTGACTACATGGGAGTCTAGCGACTTAGCCATTACGCTAACCGCTGGTCCCTCATCTTTGAAACCTTTGCGTGTCTGCCCTGAGCTCAGCTTAGAGACCCAGAGACACCATGAGTTGTAGGCAGAGACCTGCCCTTGCCTTCCAGCTCTGTCTAGCTGGAGAGCCAAGCCCCGGCGAAGAAAGGACAGCCCGGTGCAGTGGGGCCATGGCAGTGGAACACACTCGGTTCTGAAAGGGCACAGAGGAGGAAGCTCCTGCCTCCCTGGGCACCCCAAGCAAAAATGGTAGAGGTGACATTTAATATGCATTTCCTGGGGAGAGGTGGGAGCAGCAGCCTGGGCAAGGAAGGGCACCAGGAGGAGCAATAGGTGGGTTCTAGCAAGTGAGGCAGAGTGGGTGGGGCTGGAAGGGAGGGTGAGGCCAGGAGGGTGGGTTGGTCAGATTGCAAGAGCCTCTGAGGCCAGCTAGAGAGCAGCCAGCATCCTTACAGCAGATGTCCAGACCACCCAAAGTTTCCACAAGCGCGACTCAGAAAGCCTCCAGGGTTGGGGCCAGCAGGTGGTGTAGTGGTTAAGGTGCTGGACTCCTACATGACCGACTGCAGTTCAAGTCCCAGACCGGAGGCTTCACATGGGGCATATGTGCATGCATGCCCAAAATCACAAAAGGAGAAGGGAGAAGGGCTTGTGGTCTGGCCATCTCCCCTGGGGAAGGGGGTGGTTTCTTGCTTTCTGTTTCTCTCGTGAGTGCATGTACCCTATTAAAAAAAAATCTCTCTCTTAAAAAAATAAAAACGGCCCCCAGGGTTGCTGTGTAGAGGCTGGGCGGAGGTTGGAGGTGGGAAGTGAGGGGGTCAGGGAAAGGCAGCTCTGAGCCCTATTAGGGAGAGCTGTCCCGAGCCAGGGCTTCGCAGGAAGACTGGGCTTGCTGCTGGGCCTGGGCTCAGTGCCTGAGGCTCTGGGTTTGCTTCAGGGCTGAAGAGACACCTGGAAGCACGGATGGTCGCAGTCAATTGCTTAGGAGAGAGCTGTGTGTCCTGGAGCCCCAGGGTCCAGGAGAACACGCCTGACCCGAGCTCCGCCAAGTCTAGGGCTAAGCCCGAGACGGCCTGGGTGGCCCAGAGAGGAGCTCCTCTCAGGTGGAGGGATTCTGTAATCTTCCCCCTGTGTGTGCAGATCTCCTAGGGAGGGGCCTGGGCATTTACCAGGTACAGGGGGCTCCTGAAGGCCAGAAAGACACCAGAGGAGGGCTGTGAACGCAGTGCGGGAGCCACAGCGGCTGCCTGGGGACGCTGGTGCCCAGGACAGGCCCTGAAGTGGGAGCTGCCAGGCAGATGGAGAAGTGAGCTACGCAGCCTGGCATGCTGAGGGCCCAGTACAGGCTAGGAAGGGAGGTGGGAGGGGTGGGGAGAGGCATGAGGACTCTAAATCCCCTCTGAAGCTGAGACTGCACTTTGTCCTGAGGGCCGTTGAAAATGGGGAGCCACTAGAAGGTTCTAAATAAGAATGTCTTGATAAGATTGATCCTTTTTTCTAGGTTTTTGCCATAGGGTGTGTGCGCTCACTAGAGAGTGACAGAGAGGGAAAGTGAGAAGTCAACCTCCAGGGGATGGCCATGCCGTAATCCCCTCTCCTCCACCTCCTCCTGGGATTTTGGGCCTGTATGCACATGCGTGTGTGATTTTCAAGCTGTCAGGGCCAGACCTCACACGGTAGTCAGCCATGTGGCAGCCCAGCACTTTAACCACCACCACGCCACCTGCCAGCTCCACAAGATTTACTTTTAATTTTTTTTTTTTTTGAGAGGTTTTCACTGCAGGGCGCGTGCGCTCGCCAGACAGACAGAGAGAGACATAGAGACAGAAAGCGAGAAATCACCCCCCAGGGGGGATGGTCACGCCGCAATCCCTTCTCCTCCATTCTCCTCTCGGGATCTTGGGCACGCACACACACACACGCCCAGCGTGAGTTTTAAGCCACCAGGTCCGGGACGTGAACCGCGGTTGACTACGTGGGAGTCCAGCGACATAGCCATTATGCTAACTGCTGGTTCCCAAGATTTACTTTTTTAAAAGTTATTTATTTCTGGGGACCAGCGGGTGGCATGGTGGTTAAGACTCTGGACACTCCCACATGGCTGACCACGGTTTGAGTCCTGGACCTGGTGGCTTGCTTTCTCACATTCTCTTTCTCTCTCTGGTCAAATTAAAATAAATGAATGAATAAATATAAATAAACAATGATTTTTTTTAAAAAAGTTATTTATTTCTTGTCTCTGGAGAGGGAGAGAGAGGCCCACCAGTAGCGTCTTTACCTTATGACTCAGTCCCAGTCTCAGCTGACCCGGGTCACAGGTGTGCACATCCCGGTGAGCTGCCAGCATGCTCAGGAAGTTCCGGGGAGGCAAACACAGGGCCTTTCCTACGCGGCGTTCCCTCTTCCTGGCCCCAAGAACTCTTCAGGGAACTTTCCTGGCTGCCAAGGTAGGCTTTTGTGCGAAGGAGGAGGCAGTGAGACTGGAGGTGGACCCAGTCCGGAGGCTGGCTGAGAGTCGGGGGTGACAACACCTGATATCAGACATCTGACAGTGGCAGTGGCTGGGGAGATGTGCCAGATGGGGCAACTTAGAGGGACAGCCGTGGGGAGCTGGTGGCTTGGGAGGGGAAGGTAGAGAGGAGAAGAGAGGTTTCCCGGATGGCACCCCAGTCTTCTGGCTTGGGCCATCGGGGGTGGCAGTGGGATGACTGAGGGGACAGGCCTGGGGAACAGATGCTGAGCTCTGGGGACACATGGGGACTGGGGGAGGGCCACGGGTAATGGTGCGCTGAGTACTGCCACATCGCGAGCCCGTGCGGGTCCCTAGAACTGTTCTCGCCTGCTTCAGAGCTGGGAGATGGAGAAATGGAGACTCAGCAGCAAGATTCAGTAACTTGCCTGGGAACACAGGGCTAGAACCAGCCACGTTCAGCAGTAACTGGGCCAGCCACTGGGGTGGGTCTGATTTCAGTTCCATGAGCTTTAGGGGAAGGAGAAGGAGAAGAGGTGGGAGGGAGTGGATGGAGGAGGAGGACCTGAATGTGCAGAGGGTGACGGCCCCCAGCCCTGTGCAGCCACCGCAGCAGGACTGTAACAGCCCTGGGAGGGCAGGCGGGGTGAGGGCCTAGCACAGCCCCCTAGCCGGCCCCTCCCCTGCCCGAGGCTGGCAGGAGCAGCACCATCTATCAACGCTGAGGTGTGTACCCGGGGAAATAAATACCAATTAGCCACCCTGAGGTTTCCTATTAATGAACGTCGGCTCCTCAGCCCTGATACGAGGTTCATTTGCGAGCGCTGCTGGAACCAAGCTGAGATGAGGCCCAGGGACAGATAGGCAGGTTGAGGCTGTTCTGGTCTAAGAGAACCAGGCCGGTTTATTGAGGCCCCTGCCTGGTGCCAAGTTAAGCAGCCCAGGCTCTGTGCAGAGGGAGAGGTTGAAGCAAGAGGAAGAGTGGTGCGGGGCAGGGGCACCAGGCCTCTGCCGGGGTACCTGGGGGTGCTCTGGGGCTCCCCGAGCTACCCTGGCTCTGGACGGCTGTGGTGCTGGGGATGGTGCTGGCCTGGGCAGGGAGGCGGTGTGGTGCAGGGCATGAGGCACAGCCTTTGGGGCCACCCTATGGAGTTCGAATCCTCGTCCCTGCACTTTGTAGCTGTGACCTCTGTCTCAGGGACCTGCAGAGCTGAGCTGTCTGAGCCAGGTCTGTCTGAGCACAGTGGTGAAGTGCCCAGCTGCTCGCTGCTCGCTGCTCACTGCCAGCTTTATGCAGTGGTTCAAGGGCTCCCTCATGACTGTCAACCTGGTGGAGGCTGTGAGCCACCCTGCTCTGTCCCCTGGGCGAGCGACCAAGTACAAAACCACAGGCTAACTCACAGGGCCTCGAGGCAGGGCAGGGCAGGGCTCAGCAACAGCCTGCCTTGTTTTAGGAAACTGGTGAGAAGCTCTCTTCCAGACAAAGCAGTGTTCGCAGGTGAGTCCTGGCTCTGGCCCAGGCTGCCTGGAGACCCTGGCAAAAGTGGATTTCCTCACGCATTAAGAGAGCTGCAAGACCACAGGGGCAGCCTCGGGGGATGGCTGTGAGAATTGCAAATACTTTTCCCCCAGCACTCAGCCGCCGTGTGCCAGGTGAGCCAGGCCGGGATTTTGCCCTTTTGCTCACTGCCGTGCCCCGGAACACGGCCTAGCACGTAGTGAGTACTCCGTAACATCTCCAACGGGTGAGCACGAGGGGTAAGGCAAAGGGCCTCAACCCAGACGGTGAGATCGACTTCTTCCCGCCTGCCCTCCTGCCTCCCCCGCCGTGTCCGTAACTCCCAGAGCCAGGGCAACCTCTGCTTTCTCGGGACCCACTTGTGCCGTTTCTGACTCACTGCAGTGTCTGGGGCTAACTTTATCTGGCTGGCTTTCCAGACAGATTTGGGGTTACAGGAAATACCCAGGCTGGAAGGGGCAAGGCAGATTGGCTGGCTGCCTGGGAAGTGTTTGCCGACTGACCTCTAAACCAGTTTCCTGTGTCAATCCAGTTCTTCCCCTTCCGTCGTTTCTGGTGACAGCCTGTATTCCAGAGCTTGGGACCCCTTCCTTGGATTTCTCTGACTTTTCCCATCACCTCATCTCCTTCACTGTCTGGATGGCCAGGAGGGAGTCAACAACAAACCCTTCCCTGCCCCAGGGCCAGTCGTGGCTCCAGGACTCTGGGGCCCCAGGAGTGGAGGACACTGCCCGAGTCGTACCCAGCTGGGGATGGTTTGGTCTGAACTGAGGCCTGTGAGGAGTTAGCAGGTCCATCCCTGTGTCAGGCTGTCCTGGAAACGCCATGGTTGTCTTGGGGCGATTGCATGGTCCTGGCATGCCCCACTGCCTTCACTCTGCAAACACCAGCAGCCTGTTTTGGGGCTGACAGGTCCCCAGGGTGCCCTTGCTGCCTGCTCCTACAGCCCTGAGGCCAGAGCTCTTAACTTTCCTTTCGTGTGGCTCCTGCTGAGAATGAAAGCTATGCTGGGTACCTGGGGGGTGCTCTGGGGCTTAGACAGACCTGGCTCAGACAGTTCAGCTCTGCAGGTCCCTGAGACGAGGTCACACTATAAAGTGCAGGGGCCAGGATCCGAACTCCATAGGGTGGCCCCAAAGGCTGTGCCTCTCAGCGCCCCATGGCATGCTCCACGCATCTGTTCTGTCAGGGGCTCGTGCCTCTCTAAGGGCCCCTGACTGAACCCCTTGGACCTGGGGTTGAGAAATCTCGCCTCTGCTTTCCGGGTGCTCAGCCTGAAGGCAACGTGGGGCAGGCCCACAGAAGTAGGTTGCAAGAGAAGGGGTCCACCCAAGTTCGAGGTCCACTCCCTCCAGCCCCACCTCACTCCTGGAAGAGGGTGAGCCAGATGTAGGCCCTGCGCCCCAAGAGAGCAGGCTCACCCTGAAGAATAAAGAGGGCAGGAGGGAAGGCCTCCACAGCTCCCTCAGCAGCAGCCGTGGCTGGAGACCATTATCCTCCCCCCATTTCCCCCCCCCACCCCGCGCCCAGCGTCAGGGCTACGCACTCCTTTCTCTTACCAACTGCGGATCCTCTGCCTTCGGCCCAGCGTCAGGGCTACGCACTCCTTTCCCTTACCAACTGCGCAGTCCTGGTGGTTTGGAACCAGAACCCTCCAGACCCTCCCCCTCAGTAGGGTCCTGGAGACACCCTTGGGCCTGTATCTCATGCCCACAGGAGACCCTTTTTGCTCCCGGTCTGAGGGGGCAGCTGGGTTTCAGGAGTCTAATTCTCATGTGAACCTTACCAAGCTGGACTGGGGGCACAAGCTCTCCTCCTCGCAAAAGCGGCCAGGGATTCCCATTTGGTGAGAGGGGACATGGGACAGCCACCTGCACTAGGTCAGAGTCCCAGGGAAAGCTGCAGTCGGACACCTCCTGAGGGGGCAGGCCAGGCAGCATTCTCCCTGGGGGCGGCCCTGCTGGCAGACTCCACCATGAGGGACCCCCACCTTCCGTCACTCACAGCAAGATGTCTGCTCCAGAGAGCGAGGCGGGGGCACGGGCCTTCACTACTATAGCAGCTTCCAGACAGCGCAAATGACCACAGTGGCCGTGGCTCCAAACAACACACATTTATTCTTACATTCTGGAGGCCGGGATTCTAAAGTCGGTAGCACTGAGCAACAGCCAGGGTGCCGGTTGGGCCAGGCCTCCTGGCAGTTCCGAAGGGACAATCCATTTCCTCACCTCCTGTAGTTTCTGGGGACAGTCTATTCCAGAGCTTGGGACCCCTGCCTCGGTTACACTGACTTCAATCACCTCACCTCCTGCTTCTCCTCTCGTCTTCCCTCTTAAAGGAGCCCCTGATCACACCAGGCCCACCCGGATAACCCGCCTAATCTCCCATCTAGAGACCCTAACCTTATGGCACCTGCTAAGCCCTCTGTCACAGCCCGTAACAGCCCCCGGTTCTCAGGACTAGGACATGGACACCTGTGGGGGGTGGGGGGGACACTATAGGCCTGCTACAACTAGGCGGGGGGGGGGGACACTATAGGCCTGCTACAACTAGGCTGCAGGGCTGCCATGCCCTCCTGGCATTTTAAGGATTCGGAGAAAAGGGTTGGCAATTTCTTTGCTTTGGGTTTAGTGGGTTCCTAACCTTGTATGCTTAAAAGGTTCAGGTGTCACCAACTCTCCCCTCGCAGCCAGAGAAAACTGCACGATCTCCTGAAAGGCAGGCGACAAGTCTAACCCTCAGTGCTGGTGAGAGGTGCAGGGCCAGAGACTGCAGGGCCAGCCCACGCCCTGCTGACTGCAACAAGTCCATGGCCAGGAGAAATTCAGAGAAGGGCCTGGGGCCTACTAACGGCACCGGGAGGCCATGGGGTGAAGCCCGTTAGGACAGCATGTCACCAGAGCTGAAGCCAGGCTGCAGAGGCTGGCTGTGGGCAGTGAGGACTCGGGGAAGAAGCTGGGGCTGTCATCCCACGGAGACATGGCTGGAAGTGGAGCTGTAGAGAGCGTCTCTGCCCACGGCATCTGGGACGAGGGCCAGGGCCTCACTAGACAGGGTGCCCCGAAGTCCCAGGCCTGGGCTTTTCTTTGCAATGAGAGAGTGGTGGGACAGGGCAGGGCAGTGGTCAGGGGCCTCTCTTGCTACCTCTTCTCCATGTCCTGCATCTGCAGGCTGAGGGCAGTGAAGCTGGCCAGGAGGTCAGTCACTTCATCCACCTGCAGGATGGAACCAAGGCTGTCACAGGGTCCAGGGCGCCCAGGGCTCCTCCCTGTACATGGGCACCATGTGCCGGCAGCTTCTCCTCCTGGGACGCGTGGTGGCTCCTCTCTGACTGCGGAAACGCTGGCCTGGACACCAGGTGGTCTCGGGCTGCCCAGAGACCAGGGCCCGGCGCACCTTGGGCGGCCTTAACGGAGCTGGGCGGGCGGCTCACCTGCTCTCGGGTGCTCGTCATCTGCAGGCGCGTGCAGAGGTCGTCCAGTCGCTCCCGCTGCTCGTGCTGCCCCAGGCGCTCCAGGTACTCCCTCAGCATGTGGATGATCTGGAACCAGGGGCAACTGAGCTGAGCTGCCTGCGCTCCAGCTCGGGCCAGAGAGGCATGGTGGGCGGCAGTGTGCCCGAGGGTAGGGCAGCGCCTGCCCTGCGCCAGCCTGTGGGTCCTCACCTGCTTGACCTCCAGCCGCACGGCCTCCAGGCACTGAGAATGGCCCTCCTGCAGGATGTTCAGCTTCGACTTGGCCAGGTGCAGCGGTGTACGGCCGGCTCGGTCCAGGGCATCTACACGGGCCCCTGGGGGACAGCAGAGGTGAGCATGCTGGGGTGAGGTGAGAGCGAAGATGGAGAAGGGGAAGGGACCACATACCTCCTCGTAGCAGTGTGGTGATGACAGGGACGTGGTTGGTACAGGCCGCTAAGGAAGAACAACAGAGACTTAATTATCCGGGACCACCGAGGCCTGGCCCCGTGTGCCTGTTAGAAGGAGCTGGGCCGTGTCTCCAAGTACACCGTGCCAAGTGTTGCCTCCCGAGGAGACACTCCCAAGGCGGCAGCTGGACAGGACTCAGCAGTCCAATTCCCTCCCTGTACAGCCAGGGACACCTGAGGCCCACCTCGGGACGAGCCAGGTATTTGTCCACTGCGGGGTCAGAACCAGCCCAGGTCTCGCATCATGCCTCCCTAGCGGAGTTGCTGCTGACTCAGTCCAGGTTCTAAATCAGCTCCGAGGGCACAGCCAAGCACAGAGTGACCAGAAAGTCCACGGGACATAGGCCGCTGGGAAGGAGGCCCTGGGGGCTCAGGCTTTCCCTGGACACAGGAGGACGGCTGGGATCCTGCGGGAGCCCCGCTTCCCATTGGGGCGCTGTCGAGGCACTCACCCAGGTGCAGTGGGGTGTTCCCCAGCCCATCTCGCTGGTTAGGATCGGCCCCATGGTCCAGGAGCAGCTGCACTGGAAACAGAACACCCAAGAGGGGACATGGGAGACTCCCACTGATGGATCCTGCTCCCAAAACTAGAGGCTCACTCCAAGTGTAGAACCCCAAATGCAAATGTGGCTCCAATTCACTCGCTCACTCGCTCACTCAACAGGGCTCCTGTGTAGGACTCTGAGGGCCAGGAACTGAAGACTCTGGAGGGGGTTTCCTGGCCTATGAGGTGTTAAGGGACTGAGGTTTTGTTTTGTTTTGTTTTGTTTTTTTGAGAGGTTTTTGTTTTAGGGCGTGTGTGCTCGCCAGAAAGACAGAGACAGAGAGACAGAAAGTGAGAAATCACCCACGCTGCAATCCTTTCTCCTTCATTCTCTTCTTGGGATCTTGGGCACGCACTTGGCGTGAGTTTAAGTCACTGAACCTGGGATTTGAACCATGGTCAACTACATGGGAGTCCAGCAACATAACCATTATGCCAACTGCTGGTCCTGAGATTTTTTTTTTAATCTGCTCGAGGGTGTATACACTTGCCAGAGAGAGACAGAGGGTGGGTGAGGGAAAATGAGAAGCACCCCCAAGGGGTATGGTTATGCTGCAGTCCCTTCTCCTCTACCTCTCTGTATACACTTGCCAGAGAGAGACAGAGAGAGGGAGAGGGAAAATGAGAAGAACCCCCAAGGGGTATGGTTATGCTGCAGTCCCTTCTCCTCTACCTCTCCCCCCTTTTGAATTTTGGGCACACATGCACATGCCCCCTGTGTGTTTCTCAAGACACCAGGTCTTGCACTTAAACTGTGCAGTGTGCTTGTATGCCAAGGTCCTGACAGGATGGAGGAATGGAGAAGGGATTGCAGTCCGATCACACCCCATTGGGGGGCTCTCTCTGGCGCCCTCTCTCTCTCTGGTGAGTGCATGTGCTCTCTGGCAATTAAAAAAAAAAAGGACTCCTAAGAAAAAGGGGAAGCTGGGAGGTGGCAAAACCATCCTCAAGTCTGTGTCCTGGGGCCTCCCTCTGCACACCAAATGTGTGTGCACGTGCCCCTGGTCCAGGCTGGCTGGGACTGGAAGTGGGGACCCTGCTGGGGGTGCCTGCCTGCCTGTCCATCTCATATGGATAAAATAAATGAACGATGAAATAAATAAAGGCTGCCCCACTGCTGTGGTTGGCACTGGGGGTAAACGTTGCCTGAATGTCTTCAAGGGCACTCAGGGGACAGGCAGGGCCCTGTCCCGCTAGCTCTCTCCTCATTGGAGACTTCCCTTCACCCTCAGAGGCAATCAGATTGTTCCTTCCCCCATTTGGAAGTGCCAGTTCCACAAGGTTGGAGGGAGAGGGAGAGGGACAGGGAAGCACCACGGAGCCGGAGCCGAGTCTCCCTTCTCTCCTGTCTCACTGGACAGCCTGAGGCTGTGCAGACCACAGCTCTTCCCCAGGGCCCCAGAGAGATGCTGCTTGTCCTGCCCTCTTCCCTCTCTAGGACTCACCGATCTGGTCATTGCCATTGCAGGAGGCAAAGTGGAGAGCCGTGCGGCCCTTGTCGTCAGCTGCACAGGGATCTGCGCCATCTTCCAGCAGCTGCTGCACTGACACCACCAAGAGGGAGGAAGGGGAAGCCATAGTGTTAGCCGGGTTGGTCTCGGCGGGCAGGGAGGGATGCTCCCTCCAGACAAGACATCGACGATGCATGCAAAAGCTTGCCCTGCCTGGGTGCCGGCCCCTGGGGACTGCCATGACAAGGGACCCCTCTGAGGGCACAGTTGAGGGTCATGGATTCTGGGTGCTTGAACCACGTGTCTGAGGATAAAACATCATAGGAGGCTCTTGGCCCTTAGGATCAGGAATCTAGTCACAGAAATCCCCAAGGTGGACTGTGACCCTGTCTCTTGACCATATCCCTCCCAGCCAAACACACTGAGCTAGTGGTCAGCGCTTAACTTGCTCCCTTGAATGGACAGGGCACAGGCTCTGGAGCCATACACAGTCCCAGGCCAACCAAGTCAAAGAGAAACAGGTACATTGGTACAGAACGGGGTGGCAGAGAGAGCGGGACCGGGCCCAGTTCACCGGCAAAGGGAACACGCTCTGCCCTGCCAGCCTCCAGAGCGGCAGGGATGCGGCTAATGAAGATGGAACTCCTCTGGGAAGAACGGAGGCACTGTAAATGTGGGGCATTAGGCACTAATGCACAGGCCCCGATGGAATGCGAGGATTGCTGCCGAACGTCATTTCAGAGCAAGTGCAGTTTAGTCTCCTTTCCCCAGCAAAGCTCTCAGGACTGGAGTCCTTCCAGATGAAGTCCAGTCCCTCCTTCCTGTGCACCCCTCAGTGCCCTGGCCACTCTGCTTCTCTGAGCAGATCCTGCCCCATTCTAGAGTAATTGCTGCCAGAGGCTGTGCCAGTCAGGCATTGGGTGCCAGGCTGTGTGGCCCCTGACGGCCGAGCGGAGCATCACGTACATCTCACAGACCAGAAGACTCAGGCTCAGGGAGATTACATGAAGTAGCCAAGCTATGTGCACCCAGGCAGCAGGTGGCAAACTGGGGATGGAAGCCCAGAGTTCTCTGGCTCCAGAACTTAACACCTCTACTATGAAACATGTAATGTTATTGTTCGTTTGTTTTTGCCAGCAGATTGCATAATGATTATATTGCTGGACTCCCATTAGTCAATCAGGGTTCAAGTCCTGGATCCAGCGGCTTAAAACTCCCAATGGATGTGTGTGCGTGCATGCCCAAGATCCCGAGAAGAGAATGGAAGAGAAGGAACTGCAGTGTGGCCATCCCCCTGGGGGGTAATTTCTCACTTTCTGTCTCTCCAACAAGTGCATGTGCCCTATAGCAAA